ATAAATTATTGATATAAAAAAAAAAAAATAAGATGATTGAAAAGAAAAAACAGATGTAAATATAGAATTTATGTATTTTCAAAAACGTTATAATTTGAGAAGCGGTTATTCAGCAATTTTTTTTATTTTTTTGAATAGTGGGTAAACAAAAGGGGTGATAAAAAATTAAAAAAAATTAATTTGAATATTTTTTTGTCCAAAAAAAGTAATAAACTTTAAAGAATATAGAAATCGTATGATAATTATTTTGAGTTTAGACCCCATATTAATTCTTTAATTGTTAGCCCATAAAAAATTTTAATGTATTGCTGACTCCTTGAATTCAATTAATATGAATAATACATCATTATCACCTAAAATCATTTTATGGAAATTTATTATTTCTCTTTTACTTTTACGAATAATTGATTACAAAATGAATAAAAAAATCATTAGTTACTTAAATAAATAAATAAACATTTTACAATACTTTTATAAGATTCTTAATATAAGCATTCCAAAAAACATGATATTTCTTTCTTTAATAAAACCTTATAATTATTTTAAAAAGAAAGCTAATTTAAAAATATTAAAGTAATAATTAATTATTTGATATATGTGTAACTATAAGCTAATTCTTCTACTTATTAGAGACATAGTGAAAATTTAGAATAATCTTTTCAATAGTATCCTTGATTTCTTCATCATTGGATTGATAGACTCACATTTAATTATTATTAAGATTATTATTAACAATCACCCATAATCTTCATTTTGAAAAAGAATTACTATATTAAAATCTTATATTGATTAAGTATAGATTGCAAGATAAAAAAACAAAATAAACAAAAAATTTAATAATACTACTTTATTAATTGCTCATTACCACAATTATGATTAAAATCAAATTAATTATTAATTATTTAACTACTCTCTTTAATTTACTAAATAAATATCAATTAATCTTAACTTCAAGAGAATAATATGGTTTATAATTAGTTTAAACACACAAAGTGAGCATTATTTTAGTGTGTTTCGAATGATTATTATATTTGTATCAATTGATACTTGAATCAATTTTTGATATTTGAATTGATATAATATAAAATAATACAATAAATTTTCAAGATTTGCTATTGAAATATAGGTTAGAATATTAGTTAATTTTGTTCATTCATACTCTAGCAATAAAATTTTATAAAGGAGGGAATAATATCTAAATGACTTTTCGGTTGTTAGATTAAATAAAGTTAACCTACATTAAGCTACAAACTCTTATATCTTTGTTAAGAGTTGGTATTCTCTTTTCGAATTGCTTTATTTCAATATGTTATTTTATGAGTTTAGCTTATCAAATAGGGAATACGAAATGATAGACACTAACTATTTATTAAGCTGTATTTCCACATTGGCTAGATAATATTTTGATTCTTTGATAATGAGGAATTTTCATTAATGTGAATGCTACCCAATTTTAATAGGTAATGAATAACAGTTAATTATAATTACTTATAAATATCTATTTATAAATAAATAATTTAATATAATATTTAATTTCATCCTTAAACCTGTTCTTTTTTTTTCTTTAAATATTCTTTTATTGATTGATATCTTTCTTTCATATCCTCATAAAATTGCTTTAACAAAAAGACTAATTATAAATATAGAAAGTAGGATGAAAATTAGAATAATCCAGCCAATTATATACTTTTCTTCAAAAGTTAATATTTAACTAACATCATGAACAGCTAATATTGCAGTAAAGGATATAATTATGATATGCATAGGTCAGGAACTGCTACTTAGATTAATATCTTTTTATTTTAAAAAGAATTTTCATAAAGAATCAAAGCTAAATTTGAAAGCATGATATACAACAAAACGATGATTATAGAATGGTAATTCATAAAAATAAACTGTAAAGAAGATAAACAAATCTTTACGGATCAAGTTTACATAGCAATAGTTTTTAGATAAATTATTATTAGTTTTAGTTTTGATTCCTTCATATAATGATGAATAATTTTCTTTAAATTGTTTATTTTAATAAAGAATTGTATGTTGAGAACAAACAAATTTACACAATTAAAAAAATAAAACAATGAATAGTATTCTTACATAAGCTGATATTCTGTTAATGATAACGACTAAAAATTCTTAATTCTTTGAATATTTTCATTAAAGCAAACAAGCTAAACAAATATTTAAAAATACTAAACCAATAACGTATATTAATTTTGCTCTTAAATTCGTATTAAATTATTTTGCCTATTTATAAATTAAAATTAATAAATGAGGAGGTTAAGTGAATTATTTAATAACCTACTCTGATGATTTTATATTTGGATCAATCTGGTCTTATTATTTAATCTATCTAATTTTGAAAATTTCTATTTAATGAATTCTTTTAGTTTTGTTTTAATATTATTAATTAATCAAATTAACATAGATACTTGATAACAAATACATCAAAAATACAAGGAAATCCAATGCAATAAATAATTGAATATTGTTTTAAAATAAAGGATTAACATCTTTCTCTATAAATTTAGGAGGAGCCTCAAAATAATATGCATCATCCGGTTAATTTAATGATACTACATCTGGTATATTAATTATATCACCCCATTCTAATTAATTAAAAAACATCTTGACATTTAAGGGATAATCTACATTTAGAAAATAGAAATTATTGATACATGTCAATAGATCTAAAATAGTCAAAAAAAATTAAATCCTCCTAAAATTATTGTTAAAGGTCCAATTAATTGAAGTAAAAATGTAAAAGTAATTTATGCTGATACTATACTTTTTGCTTACTCTTATTATTATTAATATTAATAGACTTATTTCCTTGGAGTTATCACAATTTCTCTAATTTCTTCATCTAGAATCCTATTTGATTCTTTAACTAAAGGAATAAACAAATGAATGAGATTATATTCTAAAATAGTTTTTGAAAAAATTCAACCTGATCTCACATCCAGACATATTTTCTTACATCTCAGATTTTTTGAAAACTGAATAATTAAATTCATTTTATTAAAATTCATCTATATTGATTTTTAATTTATCTCATATACCTTCTAATTCTAATTCATCAAATAACAAATCAATATCACTTGTAGTAGTAGAATTCTTGTAAGAAAAATCAATTTTTTTTTTTGGTGGTTCATAGCAAACTCCTTATTTACAAATAAAATCTTTTTCAATATTGCATTTTGAATTACATCCATCCTTATCTATATTATTCCCATCACCACAATATTTAATTCTTGCAATAATATTATCTCCACATTTAGTAACACATGATTATATTTATTTATCTAAATATAAACCAGAGATATTATCACATACTGAACAATCTTGAGTTGTGCAAATTTTACAATTATTAGGAGTATTTTCACATTCTTAACATTTATCTGAACATTTATTACATGTATTATCTTTCAGAAAATATCCACTATCACATTTCAAACATTCAGTAATTGTTGAATCTTTGTAAAATACATTCAATACAATTATCCTAACATTTATAACAAAAACTTAAATTATTATTATCTTCTTAACATTTATAATTTGGATCAACTTTACATTAAGTACATCCATCTCTAGGTATATCATTTTAATCATTACATAACTGATTTCCATTCTTGATTCCATCTCCACAGTTAGATTCACATTTCTGTTGAATTAAATAGAATCCTAATTCACACTCAAAACAAATCCCTTTTTAGCAATTAGTGCAATTCTTATCACATTGATAATTACATTCATAGCAACCATCATAAGGAACACTATTACTATCTTCACATTCTTCTTTGCCAGCTAATATCCCATCTCCACATCTAGGAATACAATCATTTGTATAACTATCATAATATAATTCAACTTAATCTCCACATAATTTCAAATTTTCACACTTACTAATGAATTAATTCAAAACAAAAGAATTCACACATTCAACACACTTACCCAATTAACAATCTGAACATTCCTATTGGCATTGATATTTACAATTATAACATCCATCATATTTAAATTCATTACCATCATCACATTCTTCATTCGAAGCAACTATGTTATCTCCACAAATAGAGTAACAGGAATTGTTCACAAGTTCTAAATAATAGCCATATTAACAAAGTAAACAAATTTCATGAAAATATTTACAATATTGAGGTTTTATAATCTAACAACTAAAACAATCCTTATCGTTAAATTCACATTACTCATCATAAGCAAGTATTCCATCTCCACATTGAGAAACACACTAATTTCTTTAATTTAGATAATATCCCTCTTAACATTTTACACAAACTTCATTATAACATTGAATGCAAAAAGGAAAACATTGATTACAATAAAGATTTGGAGATATTTTCATATAAAATTCACATTAAGTTAATTTTATCTAATTAGCTTTGCATTTTCCTTCAAAAATGTCATAGTCTGCATTAAGGTTGCATTTTACACAAGTATCGCTAAGTGGAAATAAACAATGATCAATAATTCGATAAGGTTAATCTAATTATTTAACACATTGTTATTATAAATTGGGAGATATTTCATAACCATCTTTACAAAGCTAACACAGACCAAAATTGAAAACTTAACAATTTTCATCATTTTCCAATAGACAATCCTTGCATCCATCATTTTAATCGACTTCTCCAAAGAAATCACATTATTCATTGTATGTTTAAATTCCATCTCCACAAATCGAATAGCACTTTGATTGTATTAATTAATAACCATCAATACAATCTAAACAAACTCCTTTTACGCAAATTAAACAAGAGGATTGGCAATTAAATTTACATTAATGGCACCCATCATCATAAATTAGATTACCATCATCGCATTCTTCATCCTCTGTTATTAACTTATCACCACAGATAGAATAACATACATTATTTATTCTATTATAGCCTTTTTTACATGTTGTGCATCCCTAACCTGATGAATAATAAAATTAATATTTCAATTAATTTATACCACAGTATAAACATGAAGGTTAACATTTAGGTTTGCAATTTTAGCAACCTTAGTAGGGCAGAATTAATCCATCTTCACAAATTTCTTATGAAACTTTGATTGAATCTCCACAAATAGGAAGACAAACTTTGTCTAGTGAAAGTATATATCCTGTGGCACAACTCTCGCACCTTTCATTAAGGCAAGTTAAACAAATATCGAATGATTGACATTAATATTAACAAATACCATTACATCCATCAGTAGAAATAGTATTCTTATCATCACATTATTCAGAATAAAATCCAGTAGGATCTGTCACAATTAGTCCATCTCCACATATATTTTTGCAATAATATGACACTGGTCTAAATCCAGTGTTACAACTCAGGCAATTATTTGTATTGTAATCACAAGATAAGCAACCTAATCTACAAAAATATCGACAATCTTTGCATCCATCTGTGTCAATAGAATTAGCATCATCACATTATTCAGAACCAACTATTATACCATCGCCACATTTTTCTTTACAAACCCAAGGAGTCTGAGTAGGATCTAATTACCATCCTCTTGTTGCACATTCATAACATAATCCTTTAATACATTTTGTGCATGCAGGTTAACATTGATATTTACAATTATAACATCCATCATATTCAATAGAATTTCCATCTTCACATTCTTCATTACCTGTGATTATACCATCTCCACATATATCAGGACAAGGTAAAACTGTAGATGAATCACAACTCAAACAATTTTATGGGCATTAAAATTAACAATTGTAACATTTATCATCAAATATAGAATTTCCATCTTCACATTATTCATATCCTAAAACTTATAAATCACCACAAATAGGACGACATTCATCAAATTCTATTATAAAACCAGAATCGCATTAAAGGCAATTTTAATAATGCCAAATTTATGAATTATTATTGCATTATTTATAACACTAACTTAAAGTACTATCTAATTCTATTGGGCAGGCTATGTAATATTAAATTTAATACATATACAATCATTGTTTACCTCATAATATCCAGGATGACACACACATTCTAAACCTTTTAAAACTCGAAATTTTAATGAATTACAAGTAAGACAACCATTAATACTTGCTCTAAAGCATGTTTAACAAGAAAAATGACATGAATTACATGAATTACATGAATTTGTTGATTCTTAATAGCTTGTACCCAAAGGACATGAGCAAGTAGATCCTATTTTTTCAATCATACTTATATTGTTGCAAGTCATACAATCTTTATTTGATGGACCAGAACAAGTTTCACAAAATTTATGGCAAATTAAACAGATTGGATTATCAATTATTGGATAATAACCATCAATACAAACACATTATCCATTTAAAAGTCTTCTATTATTTATTGTTAAACATTCTATACAATAAGTTGCACTTAAACATTAATTACATTCTATAGGACAATCATAACATTAATTTTAGTATTCATACTGATTTATTTTACAAACACACCCTTCTTTTGTCTAGATATAAGAGGTTTAGCAAGTTAAACAATGAAGTTGAGAAGTGCAACTCAAACAAGAAGAAGGACAATCTAAACAACTAAGAGTAGGTTTAAAATAATATTGACTAGATAAGCATTCCGCTTAAGAAAACTTAATTACATTAGAGCTATAAGTAATATCCCATAATGTGCATGCCTATTAATCTGTACAAGATAAACAATAAGGCTGACAATAATGAACGGCAATATAAAAGTTATAAACAGCACAATATGCTTATAAAGGTTCATTATTTGGTCCAAAACATTCCCATGTAATTGTCATTGTATTTTAATCATGTCCTAATCTCTCCTGAATTCTCTGATATTTTGTATTATCTGTATTAGTAGAATAACTATTGCTTAATGATTTTTAAACTTAAATAATAGAATCAACTGAGTATATAAATTAGCCATCAGCAGGGAAATTAGGACCATATAAAATGTAAAATCCTATAGTTACACTATGATGAGGATTTAATTAACTAAATGTTCTTGAAAATTTAGCTTAAGCCCATACATATTGACCTCCAAAGACCCTTATAGAATTCCAATAAGAATAGTAAATACTTGAACCTTTTAAGAAATTAATACCATTTTGAGATAACAAAACATACTTTGAGTATTATGTAGGGTCATTTGCTAAATTTATATATTCTTTAATTAAATATTTAGAATCTAAATTAAAATATATTCTTACAAGGTGTTTCATCATCATAATCTTGACATAATGAATTAACAAGATTCTAATAAGGTTGAGAACAGGAATATACGCAAGTACCTTATATATTTTTATAATATCCATTTCTGCAAGTTAAGCAGATAAAAGGTACATCACAGATCAAACATGTTGAGGAACAATATCCATTTGTAACCAGAATTGAACTGATTCCCCATCCGGCTTCTGCATTTCTAGATTGGTTATTGATGATTAATATTACGTATAGTTCCCTTATGCTGTTAATAGAAATGAATATTGAGGTATATCAAAAAATCCATATAGAATGTACCTTTAACAGACACTGTATGTTGAATAACAACTAGAGGGAGACATGGTATCTTCAATTTTGATTTTATGAGTTTAAACTCCTTAAGTTGTTTAGAAAATTGAACCATAATAAGTATTATTAATTTTAAATTCCAAACCACATCCTAAGGGTATGGAATTAAAAATCCATATTTCTATTTTCAAACCTATTAAATAATTTTTATAATATGAGTTTGAAAAACTAATAAATCTACAAAATCCTGAGTTAAATTTAAAGATCCCAAATAAATAATCATTTTAATTATATAAAAGTGATGGACTAGTATCAATTTTCAAAGGATCATAAATCAAAGAATATTGGAGAATGCTTGTTTATGATGTAAACTATTCGAAACTCTCAAAAAATTACTTGCTTTCTAATATTTAGAAGAATATTTACAAGAAAAGTCTTAACAGAATCCATTAATATAGTTTTGAGATTCAAATGGACAATTTTATTTGCAGCCAACATTTTATCTATAATATAAATTTAATTGACATTAAGGACAAATACTATTGGTTGGTGTTCCATAATGGCATGATATACATTAATCGTATTCAGGTCCTGTGCATTATGAACATGATGGATAACATGTGATTTTCAGTTCAGATACTCTAATATTTCTTATTGAAACTTATCCATTCCCAGTTATAGTGGTTGAAAATATTACATAGCCTGAAACTGAAGATGGTATTGTAAAATTTATGGTTTTGAAGTCATAATTGATAGAATTACAGAATCCTGTTGTCAAAGGATAATTTATCAGAGAAGTGTAGGTATAAGTATATGCAAATGTTCCAAGTGTAAAAGTGATATCTTCATTGGACCAAATATCATGGAAATACAGATCAAAGGAAATAAAGCTTCCACTTTATATAAATAATTGTTAGTAATATTTAGCACTAATATTTTCTTTGTTTAAGGTGATATAGCTTGTAGAAGGCCTTGCACAATTGATAAAATAAGCAGTTGATAGAGGTTGCATCGTTTTTACAAATCCATTTGCATATTTTTTTGCTAAAGAGCTTGTATCCTCAACAAACAATTCGTCTTGAGTCAAAAATGCCCATTTAGACTACCATTAGGCATTAAGGTTAATAAAAAGGCAATATAGTATTAATTGTGGATAAAAATTCATTAACTTATTATTATAAAAAAACGAAATCTATCTGAAACATTTTAATTTAAAATAAATTAATAAAAAATAATTTTATATTTTTTGAATTGTGTTAATAGGAATAAAGTATAGAAACAAAAAAAACTATGTTGCCAATAAAATTTTTTTCTAAAAATCTTATCATAGTACTAAAAAATTACTTTCAAAAAGAATTTTCTCATGATTTTTCTTTTTGCAGAATTAATTTGTTTTTTATTTTATTCCTTTAGTAGTTCTTCTCCATTTAACAAAAGAAATAGTGAAATAATTTTACGTCGCTATGTTTTCTAAAAAAAATAATTTAGTTTCACTCTGATTTTCCTAAATATTATTCCTCAATATATTTAATATTTTTTTGTTAGAATAGATCAAGCAATTATATTTTAGAGTTTAACTTTAAAATTATTGTTAATGATTTGAACTAAGCAATAAATATCATTTTTAATCATAATTAATTTTTTTAAGTTAAATTAATTATTATTATAATTATATTTTTCAGAAGAATCATTAAAAAAATTCTAGAAATATAATCTTCTAGTAATATAAATATAAATGAAAAATTAACAATATTTATTCTTAAATTGCGCTACAATTCATAAAAGAAAAATTAGATTTTAGAAAATATAACCCAAGATTAAATCATATGTAATTTATATGCAGACCTTGGAGAATGAACCTTAATCTTTGAAAATATCAAATCAAAATTGAAATATATATAAGTTTATTAAACTTTAGAATTTGCTTAAATATATATATATTGGCCCAATTTATAAGAATAGAGAATACATTTAGTAAAACAAATAATATAGATAATATTGAAAACTATTCAAAAATCAAAAATATAAGCTTCATAAACCTATGAATTAGTAAATATATTTAAAATAAATCTAGTAAGAAGAATAGGAATTTCATTGTTTTTTAATTAAAAACTATTTGCAATCCACCTTTTTGCATAACTATTTTGTCCATAAGAATCCAAAATTATATACTTGAAGACAATCAAAATAAAAATGTAATCACTGCAAGAGAAATTATTTAATGGGTTAATAGTTCATCCAAAAGAGAAATCAATTATGGCATATTCTATAATATAGTAATATATTTCACTATGTAGAAGTTATTCTCTTATTTCAATCTAATAATGAAAAATCTGTATTCATACCTGCTATGGTTTAGGCAAAGATTAGAAATTATTTAAGGTAATTTTGAAAAGTCTTTTATTAATATTCATAGTTATTTGTTGACATGTGAAGTTTGAAGATAAATATAATTTATAATAATTCGAGTATCTCTCTGTATACTCAAATAACATAGTGGTAGACAATTTGCACGTGAATCAGTTATTTAATATTTTACTTCAATTATACTTATATCATTAGTTTTTATAAAAATAATATTTATTAATATAATCATATTAATTATTTATATCATTATTGATTTAATATAGACTTAAATTGTTATAAAAAAATTATAAAATGAAACAAATTAATAATTATCATTTATTTATTAATATCATATATCAAATAGACAATATATATGAAAATGATTTGCATTTAGGTATAAATAAAATCCAACTTTAAATTTTTAGAATAAGGTTCTTTTCCTCTGTTAGTTTGCCCCTGTTGAACTCAATATCTCATTAGTAACTTGATATTCGTTTCACCTATCAGTAAAAATTATGAGACATATGCTGTCAAATTTATAAAGATGATATCCTAAGAATAGCATATTTTGTAATAAACAAAATAACATCTTAAGTATAGAATTTGTTTATTTGTAAATAAAGTAATAAATCAACAAAATCAAAGAGAGATGTGACTTAACATAGAACTTTAAATATAATGATTTTTAGAAATCAACTAAATTGTCTTTTTTAACATAAAATGAATAGGAAGAACTTCTTTTTATTAGGAGCTTTATCATGAGTATTAGTTGCATAGCTTCTTTGTATATGACATCAAGATAAGTATAGTCAGTTCTTCTTATATTTTTATTCTCTTATCCTTTATATTGGTTTTTTTACATTAATAGATTGATATCATAAATTTTGATTTCAGAAATACCTTTGCTAAAATTTTATGATTATCAATTAGTATAAATTGGTTAGGCATAGCTATTATGGGCTTATGCTGATCTCTTTTTTTATCTTACATTTTTGCAATTACATCTTTTTTTTTCTTGAATCTTAAGGATTATTTACTAATAACATGATTTCAAATTAGACTCAAAAAATGTGGAACTGAATCATGGAGCTTTTGATTTAATAAAAGCAACATTTTCCTAATTTTAATACTTTTGTTATATTCTTATTATAAATTAAAATTAACCCAATTCATAATTAACAGTTTCTTAATGGCAGTTATTCATTATAATTAATTGATAAAAAACATTTATTAATTCATTTATTTAGATATTGCAAAATAACAGTTAAAGCACTTAAAATCAATTTTGATATCAAAAGTATAATTTTGTAAAAAACCTATTTTTAATTTCTTAATTGTTATAATCTGTTATTTATTTTGTTTAGAGATTTGAAAATCTGAATCCAAAGGCAATTTTAATTAATAAATTTTGATTAGCAAGATTTTTACAATTTAAAAATTTTGAAATACCTATTTTCAAATTATTAATTTAAGCTTCACTTAATCATGAAATAATATATAAATGGTTCAAATCTATTGTCTTAAAGTACTTTTACTTTGTGAAACAAAAAATTTTTAAATTGTATAATTAATAGAATTTTTGAGGAGCCAATTTTTACACTAATAAATAGAAAGACATTTCTAGCTTTATATTATCCATGCTTCGTTAACATAGTACCTTTAATATTTATTAGATATTTCTAAGGGTTTATTTTCTATATTATATATTTTTCTTAAATATTTTTTTGATATTAACGGTAACATAATTGGAAAATAATCAAATTATGAATAAATATCATTTTTTGATATTTTCCGATAACTTTAATCATTAAATATTAAAAAATGAAAGGAATATGAGAAATATTACTTTATCTATGTAAAATCTTAGGTTAATACATAGATAAGGAAAATTTTAGATGCATGATTAGAATAATGAAGGGAAATTAATTGAATTTTAATTTATTTGTATAACCGTGATCATAATCAATTCGATTTTTATATTTACTGTTATTGGCTTTCCAAAATGCAACTTCCTTTTTATTTAAATAATGTTTTTAAATCTATGCTTGATTAATTCTCAAATTAACCTTTCAGAATTAGAGCTCTACTCGCTTAAAAAATTGGCTATTTGGATATAAGGAGTATTGTTAAATGAGAGGATGCTAAATTAAGATTATAGACACTCCCTTCTGGTAGAAGATTGTTCTAAAATAGTTAATTTTCTAATTATACCAAAATTTCTTTCTAAATTATATCCGTGGTTTCAACTTCTTTTACTGTTTTAACATCCCATATACGGATAGAATTATCATCACTGCCAGATGCTAATGTAGTACCATCAGGAGAGAAGCTTATTGTGTTAACAGCATTCAAATGGCCCATTAAATTAGCTTTTTATTATCCTGTTTTAACATCCCATATACGGATAGAATTATCATCACTGCCAGATGCTAATGTAGTGCCATCAGGAGAAAAGCATACTGATCTGACATAATCACTATGACCATCTAATTTGAATTATTATTATCCTGTCTTAACATCCATTAATCTGATAGATTTATCCTCGCTTCCATATGCTAATGTAGTGCCATCAGGAGAGAAACATAATGATTGAGCACAATAAGTATGACCACCTAATTTGGCTATTTATTAACCTGTCCCAACATCCCATAAACCTATAGAATCAAAACTACTACAGGATGCTAATATAGTACCATCAGGAGAGAAACTTACCAAATTGAGATAACCCTAATGACCCTCCAACCTAACTTTTGTTTCTCTTGTATTAACATCCCATAAACGAATAGAGTTATCTACACAGCAAGATGCTAATGTGGTACCATCCGGAGAGTAGCATACTGATTAGACCCAGTTAATATGACCATCTAATTTGGCTTTTTATTATCCTGTCTTAACATCCCATAAACGGATTGACTTATCCCTACTACCAGACGCTAATGTAGTACCATCAGGAGAGAAGCACACTGATCGGACATTATGAGTATGACCATCGAAACTCGCTTTTTGTTATCCTGTCTTAACATCCCATAAACGGATAGACTGATCATCACTGCCAGATGCTAATATAGTACCATCAGGAGAAAAGCATACTGAGCAGACAATTCCATCATGACCTTCTAATTAGAATTTTTATTATCCTGTCATAACATCCCATAGGCGGATGGAGTTATCTGTACTACCAGATGCTAATTTAGTACCATCAAGAGAGAAGCAAACTGTTTTGACTTAATGAATATGGCCATCTAATTTGACTATTTATTATCCTGTCTTTACATCCCATAAACGGATAGACTTATCATCACTACCAGATGATAATGAAGTGCCATCAGGAGAAAAACATACGGATCGAACCTAATTAGTATGACCATTCAATTTGGATTTTTATTATCCTGTCTTAACATCCCAAAAAAAAATTGAGTTATCTGCACTACCAGATGCTAATGTAGTACCATCAGGGGAGATACTGACTGAATTAACTTAACTATTACATTGTAATATGGCTTTTTATTTTCCTGTCTTAAATTCCCATAAACGGATAGATTTATCAATGCTACCAGATACTAAAGTTGTACCATCAGGAGAGATACAAACTGAATTGATACAACTACTATGTCCTTTTAATATGGCTTTTTATTGTCCTGTCTTAACATCCCATAAACGAATAGTGTTATCAAAACTACCAGATGCTAATGTAGTACTATCAGGAGAGAAACATATTGAGTAGACATAATGAGTATGACCATCTAATTTGGCTTTTTATTCTCCAGTCTCTATGTCCCATAAACGAATAGATTAATCTTAACTACCAGATGCTAATGTAGTACCATCAGGAGAGAAGCATACTGATTAGACCCAGTGAGTATGACCTTCTAATTTTGCTTTTAATTTTCCTGTCTTAACATCCCATATACAGATAGAATTATCATCACTACCAGATGCTAATTTAGTACCATCAGGTGAGAAGCTAACTGAGCAGACTGTATCATTATGACCATTAAATTGATGTACTTCATATATTTTTAAATTCTTCCATTTACAATTAAACAGTTAAGCACAATTTAAATTGATTCCATTTATATTTACATTTTCTAATTCTGATCCGCTCAAATTGCATTTTGCAAAATTAGCTCCAATAATAGATGTATTTTTTATTTTTATATTTGAAAAACATTGCTTGGTTAGATCAACTTTCATTTCGACTAATAAATTTAATGAGTTAGATCCACACTAAATGAAATTTTTATCTATTTTAGTAAGATGAACTATCAATATTAGAAATTCTATAATCACAAGCTCTTTTGATATTTTTTATATCAGATACCTCCTTGTTTCTGTATAAAAATTAGTGGAATAATTAATCTAATTGAAGTCATGCTATTTTAGAATTCTGATAAGATTTAATAGTAATTTAATGTTCTTTTATATATCATTTAATTACTGTTACCTTTCAAAAAGAGATAAAGTATCAAATTTAAAATTCAATTCAGAAAGATTTAATTTTGAGATAAATTCTAAGTAATCTTAATTTTAAGTTTATTCCTTTGATAACCGTTCTATAATAGAACTCAATATTTGCAAATCAAGATCTGTTGATAACGCTAACATTTCATATAAATCAGTTGCAATTAAGAAATCTTAGATAGACTTATGGACAAATAAAAAGTTTGTACCTTTTTTTTAGATCAATGAACAACTTCTAATATCCTTTTTATAAGACCCATATTAAGTATCATCATTAAAAAATTCATTTAGCCATTTTTCTTCCTCTCCTTCTTCTTTATATAATAATCCTTGTTGTTTATATTAAACTTATGTAACTTATTTATTACTCATAGATTTTGCAAGTTTAATTGAATATTATTTTAGATCATGCAAAAAACTATCAATATTTATAGATTTTCCCAAGTTTTATTATTTTTCGATTTATTTCAAATGGTAATAATTAATAAACTCACTATAAAAATCATAACTTGTGAGATTGTATTCTTTTAATGCATCGCTAACAACTTAGATTATTCTTTCTTTTTGAATTTTAACTTTATTAAATAAGGTATTTGGTAGTAGAAGATTAGGTTCAATTATCTTTAAAAGGTTGAGATCCAGTTCACCAAAATCTTATGAGATTTAAAGTTGTAAAGGAATTTAATTATCTTCCATTTTATTCCAAACTTCAAGAGAAACTTAATGATAATCTATTTTTTCTAAGTTTTATATATCAATTTGAGTAACTTCCGAAATTTCATCTTAATTGACAAAAGTGTCTAGTTATGATTCTATTTCAATTTTATTTGTTAATTGCTTATTCTGTTGCCATTTATACATATGAATCATAAATTAACTTTTAAAATACTCCTTAATCATTTTTGAGAAATTCTTTAAGAAGTTTTATTTAAGGTTTACTATCTAGGTCGCTTTAACCATCATTTCTGGCAAAACTTAAACTAATATTTCCATCATTTGTGGAGTCTCCACCATTTTATTTAAATTTATCTATTTAATCATATTGTCATACTTTTCAGTGCTCCAGAGTTTTTGTAAATTTATACTCAGGCTTCTTAGAAAATCTTTACTTTTTAAAGTAATGTACCCGTCATCCTTCAAAAATTTAAAAATTTTTTCTATTTATTTTTAATTCAAAAGAGTCTCAGATTTCATCTATGTTATATCAAATTTCAAATTTGACAATAATTTTTCCCAAAACAGCTCAAATTTATTGATATCCATGGCTCTTCTGTTTTCAATTTAAATTTATTATTCGTACATTTCAAAAATCAACATTTTAATACTTTAAAGTGTGAATTTTTTAAGATATTCTTATTTTTATACCTAGTCAAATTTTAGAAGCTAAATTTCTTTTAATTTTGTTTTATCTTCAGGTGCAAACCAATCGATATAATTAATACTTGTTAAAATTTCACTTCTTGTGGTAAAAATAACTAGTGGGTCTGACCAATTTTATTTAATTTTATTATTAATATATAAATTTTTCTAAAGATTCTCGAGTTTCATTTCATCATAACTGTCCATTATAAATAAAAATCGGAATTCCTTCTTTTCCAACATTTCTTTACATTCTTTTAATTAGATATCATCAAATCCATAATCATCTTAACGAAGTGTTTCCTCTATTGCTTAAAAATTCGGATTATTTAAAGAAGGTAATGAAATATAAATAGGTATGAGAATTCGATTGGGGACTTATTTATTCTTGTCATGTTATTTCCATATAAACTCTTCTATTTTTTTAGCTGTCGTACTTTTGCCAGATCCAGCTATTCCATGAATTAACAGTACTGTTTTCTCTTCTTATAAAAATTTATTCACCTCTCCAATTTTATCATCAAATTATTCTAAATTCATCAAATTACTTAGTTCATTTTTTCCTTTCTCTTAAGTTTTTAATGGCACATAGATGGACCTAACGTTCTTATATGCTGCTTCCATTAATACTTTCCATTTTCTAATTTCCAACAGTTATTCAACAGATTTTCCTCTCAATAATTTAATCTCATTACTCATATTAATAAGAGACTCTTTCATTTCATTCATTTTTCCTTCAACTCTTAATAAACCTTTTCTGATATGATTAACAAAATCAGTTATCAGTTAAAGTTATTAACCCATTTCATTAATATTTTCAATATATTCATCTAATTACAAAGTCGTCTCATCAATTTATTTGAGTTGTAAATCTCGTTTGTTAAGATTTGCCTCATGAAAAATTTATTCTTACAATTAATCGATTTTCTTCAACATTTATTACATTTCGCCAGCAATTCTATCATGTTAAGTCTACCAATCTCTCTACAAGATTTACATTTACATATTTATTAAGTTTTTATTTTTTAATAGATTTCTAACTCTTAAATCTTTTTCTGAAACCCACAATTAGATTAAGGATTTTTAGCAAAATGAAATAATTGTATCTGTAAAGCAATTAGATGAAATCTATATTATTGTAAATACGAGACCCTATTTTATTTTCCATTCCTCATTATTTTAAAAATCATGATATTTTTGTTTCAAAGTATCAAATAAACCTAATTATTGATCAGATTTTTCATCATACTCTACCTCTTAATTATCCAATAAATATAATTTTCTAATACATTCAATCAGAAATTCTTATTTAATATGAGAATTCAAAGAATATTTTGGTTCTAGTAATTTTTCTTAAAAATACACTTTTAAAGTTTTTAGAAAATCAGATATATTTTATTATGTTTAAGTAATTTCCGTATCATAGTTTCCTTTTGATAAATTAGTTTATATTCTTTCAAAATAACTCTCAAAATTTTCATCTTCTATTTATTGTAAGTTGATTTGTGTCAATATTAATTATTCAAAGTTCTTTATAAATTCTTAAAATCGACACTAAAATCTTTATTATAATTTAGTTTAAACTTCGTATTTATATTTTTGAATTTAATCAAGTTTATCTGAGAAAACATTAACTTCTTCAAGAAATCTTTGTAATAACTCCTTCGATTCTATTATTTTTTATATTTATAATTTTACCACCTTAATCAAAAATAACAAGTAAGCCCTACGGTTCAAGTTGCTGAAAAAATTAGATTTCATCCAGGTTATAACATCTTTTTCATTAATTTGATAAATTTCTTTTTGTTTTACTATTAAATCATGTAATTAATTCTCTTAATTTTAATCACTTTTGGTAGTGATTGTTATTTTATCTTTCTCATTGATCATTTTTTCTTAATTGCTTTGAAGTGCAGCATTTAACTGTATCTCTGACGATATTTTTTCTTCACTTAATAACCTTTTTAAATTCATCAGCTCTTCATTCAATAACATTTAAAAAATTTCCTTATCTATATATCCAAACGTTTCCAAAGTTTTAATTACTGTTGTTGTTTGGATGGCTAATTAATCCCAATACTCAATCTTAATCTAATCTATGTTTTAATATTTGCCTGAGTCTTTGATTTTTTTTAACTAAGACAAAAAATTATTAAATTTATCTTTCTCCAATCTCTATTCTGAAATACTGAATTTTTCTTCAATCACATTTTTTAATGATTCATCAATAGCTAGACCTTCAATAATTGTTTCTAAACGCAACTAGTAGGGAGATTCTTCAACGAATAATTCTCCTAATTCCTTCTCAATTAATTCTAAATCTTATTCTTCTTAGGATATCGTTTATTCTTCTATTGATAATCGGAATTCTAAGTATTCTATTAATCCTTTCTACTTTGATAGCTAATTTTAATAGTCATGTTCAGTGAATTATACACTTATTAATTCACTTATAATTTATTTTTCAATATTACTATTACAGCAAATTATTCTTTTTGGGTACTCTTTAATTACAGAAAGTAGAAACTCATCAAGATTTATTAATTCCTACAATTTTTGTAGTTCTTGTGGGCTTGTTTATTCTAATATATTTTTAAAAGACTTCTTGATAGTTTCTAATTTTAAATGTAATTATAGATGTTTGAAGCGTAAGTTTTAAATACTTTTGATAAAATGCATATCATCAAATATTAATTTAATCTCTTTAAGATTTTCAGGTTTTAAAAGTATTTCAATATCATACTTGATTGAGATAATTTATTTCATAAATAAAATAGACTTTTCATTATCATTTATAATTTCTTAAATCTTTTCTTCATATTATATATAAATATCATTCAATTAATTCTCAAATAATTGAATTAGGTGATTATTATTTTGAAGTAAAGAAATTTCCCTCTTTTCTAATTGTTTCCAAGAATTTGTTATAAATTGAATCAGACTTTAAGCTGATTCCATAATTTTTTTTTTATTTAGAGGATTAGTTGGTATAGCCTCAAGTTTCAATTATAAATCATCAAGCAAAGAATTTTTTTTATCTTATAGTTCAAGTTTTTTTAATTCAACCTAAATGTATTATTTCTACTCCAAAAGTCTTTCCCTTTCAACAATCTCATCATTTTGATTTTATGATTGAATTTTTAAATCGTTAATATTATCCTTAAATTCTTGAATTAATGGTTATAATATTTATTCTAATACTTTCATTAAATATTTAAGTTATTAAAAATTTTTGTATTCAATAATCATTATCTAATCAAGTTATTCTATTTGATAATTTTTTTTCCTTTAATTAAGTCTTATAATTTTTATGATTTGTTGAGTATTAATGAAATATTACTTAAAGTTCTGAATCATCTTTATTATTTTTGAAGTATAAGTAGCTTATTAAATCTTCTCATTAAATTAATTATTGTTTTTTATAATATTGTTATAAATGTTAACTACAATTCCTAATTTCTCATAATTATCTTCAATTAAAGTTATTAGTTTATCTGAAAGGATAAAAGTTAAAAATTGTTAGATTTAATTAATTGCCATAATATTTTCATTTTTTTATGGTTCTATTTTTCCTACTTCTAATTTGCATTTTAAATATGAGCTAAATGTAAAATGGATATTTTCATTTTAATCATTTAGTAAGAAATCTTTAAGCAATAAGAAGTTTTTCCACTCTTTGAAACAGTCTTCTAATATCAGTCTATCAAGTTAAAGTAATTCCTTATTTTAAAGTTAATTAAGTAAAATGACAGCTTAGTCATTACTATGGTTCATTTAAATTAATAATCCTTTATGTAGATATTCGTTCCAAATTTACCTTTACTTTATTCCAATATTATTAAAGTGATATAATTATTGTTTTTTCAATAGTGGATTATATATTAAAATTTTCCCTATCATCTAAATCCATAAAAAATGATGTTTCCAATTATTTGAATTTTTCACAAGATTTTCATGTATTGACTGAATTTGTAAAATTATTCCTTCTAGATCATTTTATTTATCATTTTTAAAATAATTTATTATCTCCCATTGCAACATATCTATTTAATAATACACTTCATATAATTTTCTATTTTTTTATACTGCATACATTTTATGAATTAGGCAAGCTCCCTAAAACAATGATTTAAGTAATTCAGCATTAGGTTTCATTTGTATTATCGAACTAATTATACCACTTAAACATCCTCTTAAAAAATCTTACCTATCTTAATTATTATTTGGAGCCATTTAGAAAGAAGTTTTCGTTAAAAAAAGATAAAGTTCCATTTAATTTTGAATCAAATCATTCTTCTCTATTTCTATTAATTATGTTAATTCTTCAGAAATATCCAAAAATTCCTTTTATAAATCCTATTTCATAAATCTCTCATCATTCATTATATGGAAACTTAATATGACTTTAGATAGAGATGTTGTAAATTATAAGATATACAAGCATTTAAATAAATCTGTTCTAATATAGATCAAACAGCTTTTCAATAACTTTCGGATTCCCTCTAAAATTAAGTTGTATGATTTCATGACCTTTTCTGTACTTTTATTTAGTTTGTAAATGTTTTCTTCTTAAAAAATAAACCACTATATGGCAATCATTATTTCTTAAGATTCTAATTAATTAGCAGCAACAGCAGCTTTAGTGCAAATTTTTTCAACATAGTAATCAAATTAAGTAATGAAAATTTCTATGTCTTAAATATCTGACTTTGAGTTTCCTTATGAGTGTGAAATTATTCTATGAGATCCACAACCACCTCCACGCAATGTAGATGTTGTCTACTTCATTAAATCTGACAAATTTTTTAAAGTTTAAATAATAAATCCATAAATAGTTATATAAACTTATTTATTATATTAATAATAATAATAATAATAATAATAATAATAATAATAATAATAATAATAATAATAATAGTTTTTTTATTTGGTTAATTGCTATTTTAAAAAAGCTTCAATTTTATATTTCCACTCTGTAAAATAATTCTGTCTTAAATGAAAATAATTATTTTACTTCTTTAAATATACATCTTCTCCTTTTATTTCAATAATTTTGTTCTCCTGCATGTTTGTTTATTAATATTTAGTAGGAGTTTGCATCTAATAATAAAAAGGTAAATTAAAATGAATTTAAATAAATAAATTTTGAATTCTTACGCTTATTAGGCAAATGAATTTTTTACTTTTTGAAATTTTGATTACTTTATTGAAAAAAAATTAAGATTTAACTTAATAACTCTTGTTTCTTCGATTTTTCTTCATCAAGGACTAAGAGTATTTATGCTTTCAAGATAATTATTATAATTTAAGGCCCCAAACTGTAGCTTTAAATAAGTTACTAATTTTCAAAATTCTAAATGGCATCAGTCATACCTTGGGTAACTATTTATCTTTCATATATTTCCAACCATCTTTATTACTTTATTATAATTCATACATCTTAAAGTTTTCTTTATCAGGTATTTAGAATTTCAAAATTCTTTCAAGATAAACCTGGGTTTAGTAGGTTAAAAGCAATTTTCATTAATTTGCATATAAGATTTAGATTCCTCAGTAAAGTTTTATCCATAAATTCCTATATTTACTACTTTTCAAATAGGGATGTACATTTAGAGTTCTGTTTTCGATATTTATGGTATTTAAGATCTTTTTCAATCAAATTAAGCCATCTCTTCTTTTACAGATATTAAGACGATTTAATAGCAGATAAGAGATTTTTTTCTACAGCTCTAAGATTTTATATACTTAGACACAAAGATTAATTGTTTTTTGTCCCTGATCGAATATCTTCACTAGTCATAAGTTCTTACTTTAAATAAATGTCTCGTTATTTATTAAGAGTTTAATCAATTTAATTCTCCAATTTAGTTAGGCTAAAAGTTGAAAAAATCAATTCTAGTAAAAAGATTTCATTTAATCATTTTTAATCTTCTTTGTCAAATATTTTATTGATCTTCTAAGTTGTATTTGATCCATTATATGATAATTTTCTCCTTAAAACTTTATTATCATGCTACGTATTAAGTGGTTTACACTCTCTTATTGTTCAATTTAGAAAAAAGTAAATATTTTTCAAACTCCTAATTCATTTATTTTAATGCACAATTTTTTTATTTGAAACTACTTTCGAAAAATATTATAGAAATTCTTACACAAAAATTCTACAATCCTGAATATATATATAAAGAATTTTATTTATTAATGCCTAAACCTAACTTAATTTCGAGCTTCTGTCAAGCAACAATTAATATTTTTGTTTAAATTGAAAAGCTACTTTCATATTAAAAATATGTGTTATTTTTTTCCTTTTATTTCAATTTTAGAAAATTAATTAACATTAGATCTTTTTAATTGTAATCTATTTTATCGAAGATTATTTAATTTAAATTAAAATAGTATATACCTTTTCAATATCAAAGGTCTAATTAAACAAATCATATATCACTTTTAAAACATTAGAAATTAAATATATCTGGGATTGTTTTATTCAATACTTCATGCCCTTCATGATTTATTATATTTTGTTTAAATTTATTATTAGGATTAACATAAAAAGAATGAACTACTAATTTAAAATTAATGTAAGGATGACTCAAAAACACCAAGAGAAGAATAAAATAGACAAAATGCATTCTTTTTATGAATCTGAATATTTTACTTAATAACTACTATAGTATAGATAATAAACTCTTTGCCAAAGAGTGTAATATCTTATTCAGATTACAATTCTCTTAATCTAATTCCTTTATTTTTAAATGTTAACAATCAAACATTAGTTGCTGTTTATGTAAAATACATATCTACATTTGATAAAAAATATTAATTCTTATACTATAGCAGTCAATTGTTAAGGTCTACTTCAAATAGAAAAGATAATTTGTATATTAATAAATTATTATTATTCTTTTATCATATAAATCCATTAGCTAACCAACTAAAAATTAAATAGGATTCAAAAAAGTAGAAAAATATATTGTAAGAACAAGAAAACGAATTTTAAGAATTTTGTTATTTTTTTCAGTGGATTCTTAGAATTAATGGAAAAGACTCAATAAAAAAAAGTTCCTTCATAAATCAATGACTCTGGAAATAAATTTTTATGTCGATTACCTGATGACAGCAATCCTGAGTAATAGATAGTCTCATTTTGTAACAAGTTAAAAATATTTAAGTTCAAAATAACTATAATCTTTAAGAAAGTCATTTTTGTATCAGTGTGCCTTCAAAAGGAAAAGAAAAAAGATTTGATATAAACTTGATAAATTGCTTATGTTAAGTTGTTGCAAAGGTGTTTAGATAAATTTATTAGGTTCTATATCATAAGTTTGTCACTCTATTCGAATCATAATCAGAAGGTTGAATTGAGGATAACATCATAAAGTAAAATTAAGATATTTTGAAGCTATTAAAAAATTTGGATAGGTCTTTTATTGAGATTTAAAGCTTGTTGATTATTACTTAAATCTTTGAAGAATAGAGAAAATATTTAATTAATGATATAACTATAATTAATTTAGATTTCCATCATCAACATAATTTTTATTTGATTAAGTTTAGATTTCGAAACTATCCTACAACTATATATATATTATAGAAGTACAATTTGACAATTTAATGAATCTTCTAATAAGAATTGAAATGTAAGAGCATGCAAAAATATTTCAGGAACCTGTTTTATTACAACGAATGGATGTGCTATGGTTCCAGCATCAGGAACTAATAGGAAGTATATTATGAATTATTAACATCTAGTAGTGTTAAATGTACGTAACTGTTGTGCTTCAATATTAATAGCTTTGTAAAATTAAGTTGTTATGAATGCCACATGGAAGGCAACTACATACGAAGCATCAGAAAACACAATCAGTTTATAGTGTACTAACATTATATTTGAGAAAATAAATATGATACTCTAGAAGTTTGTACAAGTTATGATGGTATAAGCGAAAATGCAGTTGGCAATTAATCAAGACCAGATAATGGAAAGGAAAACCCTTAAAATAAGAATGTGAAAGGTGTTATTAATGCTAAAAATTTTCGAGGTTTTAAAGATATAGCCAAATAATGCAGAGCCTAGACATGTGAAGAGAATTAATCATTACGAAAACGGAAGCTCAAGCAATTTTGAAGCCTATATTATTAATTGAGAAAATAAAACCCTGCCTTTTATTACCATATTTTTTCATTATTTACAATATCTCAAATTTTAATATCTAATTATTTGTTTAAAGCTTTCATAAAATGGTAGCCACGCTCATAAAATCATAATAATTTTTATGTCTAAACTGTGAAATTGATAAGCATTTATTGAATTATGATCTCAACCAACTAATACTAGAAATTGAATAGTAATGGAGATAACTAGATTAGGGCATATAAAACTATNTTAAGAAAGTCATTTTTGTATCAGTGTGCCTTCAAAAGGAAAAGAAAAAAGATTTGATATAAACTTGATAAATTGCTTATGTTAAGTTGTTGCAAAGGTGTTTAGATAAATTTATTAGGTTCTATATCATAAGTTTGTCACTCTATTCGAATCATAATCAGAAGGTTGAATTGAGGATAACATCATAAAGTAAAATTAAGATATTTTGAAGCTATTAAAAAATTTGGATAGGTCTTTTATTGAGATTTAAAGCTTGTTGATTATTACTTAAATCTTTGAAGAATAGAGAAAATATTTAATTAATGATATAACTATAATTAATTTAGATTTCCATCATCAACATAATTTTTATTTGATTAAGTTTAGATTTCGAAACTATCCTACAACTATATATATATTATAGAAGTACAATTTGACAATTTAATGAATCTTCTAATAAGAATTGAAATGTAAGAGCATGCAAAAATATTTCAGGAACCTGTTTTATTACAACGAATGGATGTGCTATGGTTCCAGCATCAGGAACTAATAGGAAGTATATTATGAATTATTAACATCTAGTAGTGTTAAATGTACGTAACTGTTGTGCTTCAATATTAATAGCTTTGTAAAATTAAGTTGTTATGAATGCCACATGGAAGGCAACTACATACGAAGCATCAGAAAACACAATCAGTTTATAGTGTACTAACATTATATTTGAGAAAATAAATATGATACTCTAGAAGTTTGTACAAGTTATGATGGTATAAGCGAAAATGCAGTTGGCAATTAATCAAGACCAGATAATGGAAAGGAAAACCCTTAAAATAAGAATGTGAAAGGTGTTATTAATGCTAAAAATTTTCGAGGTTTTAAAGATATAGCCAAATAATGCAGAGCCTAGACATGTGAAGAGAATTAATCATTACGAAAACGGAAGCTCAAGCAATTTTGAAGCCTATATTATTAATTGAGAAAATAAAACCCTGCCTTTTATTACCATATTTTTTCATTATTTACAATATCTCAAATTTTAATATCTAATTATTTGTTTAAAGCTTTCATAAAATGGTAGCCACGCTCATAAAATCATAATAATTTTTATGTCTAAACTGTGAAATTGATAAGCATTTATTGAATTATGATCTCAACCAACTAATACTAGAAATTGAATAGTAATGGAGATAACTAGATTAGGGCATATAAAACTATTAAAAGAACATAGCAATTGATATCAAGAGAAAAATGTGGATTCAATAAAATTACATCATAATACCTACAAAAGTAAAAGATTAATGTTGTGACAATGTGAAGCCTAAAATTGATAAAAATCTACATGACTTTTATCTTAATATGATGTAAATCTATAAAACTATAATTGCTAAAATGAATCTAATTTTGAAATTAACTCTATATAATTTATTTATAAGTACTGTTTTAATGTTAAATCTAGGATTATCTTTTTCTATTAAATTTTAATGGATTCATATTATTTGTATAAAATAGAATAGAAAATCAGTAGAAAGAAAAAAAATGATTTTAATATAGGTATATTATTGTATTCCAAATTATCCCCTTGTATTGAGATATTACTTTTAATAAAAAAATCCTCATTTTTATTGTAAATTATATATTATTTAATATAGATTAGAATTACTACTCAAATAGAGAAGTTGTCAAATGATTTTTTTTTTTTTATAAGTAATCATTATTGCACATTCTTCTCTTGATTAAATCTCTTCTAATCAATTTCTCTTTATATCTAAATGCATGTGCTAATTACCTTTCTATTTATAATGGACTTTTTAAAAGAAAAGAGTCCATCAAAAAAATTAAAAATTGGCTAGTATCAAAATTCAAGTATTTATTTGTTCCATATATCTTGCGTTTCATTATATAATCATATAAAAAGTTAGAAGAGTAAATCTAAAAATTAAAGAATAAATCTAAGAGTTGTTATAATTTATAAATTAAGTTTTGAAAGAATAAATTTCTGAATAGATATCAACTAATTGGATATGTATAAATTTAATATAATTTAATTTAAATTCAAATTTATAAATAATTACATTTATTTTTATTAACTAATTTTAATCCTTTCAGATAATTATTTTGAGTTTTATTATAATTTAATAATTAATTAAAGAAATTGATAAAAAATATAGATAGGTATTAGAAGCTGCAGAAATTAGATATTAGATATTAGAATTAAATTAAATAATAATAATAAGTATAAGATATTTAAGCAAATATAAAAAGAGCATAAATATAGGTTTAAATAAGTTTCTACATTAATATATAAAAGGGAATTATAGTAAATAAGTGAAGAAATTATAAAACTTTAAGCATTTGTCATTAAAAAAGAAATTGGATATTATGTAAATTTAAGTTCATGATTATAATGATGTTGTGAGTTTGTTGATAATTTATGAAATTTAAAGCTAAAAAGGATGGTTCATAGATAATGCAATTTAATAATTTTGTATAGCTAATATGTTTTTGTTCAATAGTTATAAGGAATTTGCTAAAATAAAAATAAAATATTACCTTTGTTATAAAAGGCATCAACATTTTTTGGATCAATTGAAATAGCTTTATCATAGCAGATTATTGATTGTTCATATTATTTTAAATTGTGTAAACAATTACCTTAAATTGAATTATGGGTATAAAACCTTTGTTAAAATAGGCATTAAAATAATTTGGATCAATTGAAATAACTTTATCATAGCAGATTATTGCTTATTCATATTTTTTCAAATTGTATAAAGTATTACCTAAAATTAAATTATGTAGAAAAACCTTTGTTATAAAAGGCAATAACATGATTGTGATCAAATGTAATAGCTTTATCAAAGCAGATTATTGCTTGTTCATATTATTTCAAATCGTTTAAACTTAAGCCTAAAATTTAGCTTTGGAGATACACCTTTGTTAAAATAGGCAATAGCATGATTTTAATCAAGTGAAATAGCTTTATCATAATAGAATATGGCTTATTCATATTATTTCAAATTCTGTAAACAAATACCTAAAATTCAATTATTGGTATAAAACCTTTGTTAAAATAGGCAATAACATTATTGTGATCAAATTTAATAGCTTTATCATAGCATATTATTGCTTTTTCATATTATTTCAAATTGTATAAACTTAAGCCTAAAATTCAATTATAGAGATTAAACCTTTGTTATTTTAGGCATCAACATAATTTGGTTCGATTATAATAGCATGATCATAGCATATGATTGCTTGTTCATATTATTTCAAATTGTATAAGCTATTACCTAAAATTAAATTATAGAGATTAAACCTTTGTTATTAAAGGCATCAACATAATTAGGATCAATTGAAATGGCTTGATCATAGCAGATTATTGCTTATCCATATTATTTCAAATTATGTAAACTATTTCCTAAAATTCAATTATCGAAATAAAACCTTTTCCATTATAGGCATCAACATGATTTTAATCAAGTTAAATAGCTTTATCATAACAGATTATGGCTTATTCATATTATTTCAAATTCTGTAAACAATTACCTAAAATTCAATTATAAGTATAAAACCTTTGTTATAATAGGCAAGAACATAATTGTGATTAATTGAAATGGCTTTATCATAGAAGATCATTGCTTATTCATATTATTTCAATTTTTGTAAACTTAAGCCTAAATTCAATTATCAATATAAAACCTTTTCCATTATAGGCATCAACATATTTTGGATCAATTGAAATGACTTGTTCATAGCAGATTATGGCTTATTCATATTATTTCAATTTGCGTAAACTATTACCTAAAATTCAATTATAGCGACAAAACCTTTTCCATTATAGGCATCAACATTATTAGGATCAATTGAAATGGCTTGATCATAACACATTATGGCTTTTTCATATTATTTCAAATTCTGTAAACAATTACCTAAAATTCAATTTTGGGTATAAAACTTTTGTTAAAATAGGCATTAAAATAATTTGGATCAATTAAAATAACTTTATCATAGCAGATTATTGCTTATTCATATTATTTCAAATTGTATAAACTTAAGCCTAAAATTCAATTATGAATATAAACCTTTGTTAAAAGAGGCAATAACATGATTTCGATTAAATGTAATAGCTTTATCATAGCATATTATTGCTTGTTCATATTATTTCAAATTGTATAAACTTAAGCCTAAAATTCAATTTGAGGGATAAAACCTTTGTTACTATAGGCATCAACATAATTAGGATCAATTGAAATGACTTGATCATAGCAGATTATGGCTTATTCATATTATTTCAAATTCTGTAAACTATTACCTAAAATTTTATTATGGAGATAAAACCTTTTCCATTAATGGCATCAACATGATTTGGATCAATCGAAATGGCTTTATCAAATAATTCGATTGCATCTTAACATTAATTCAGCTAATATAACACAAAACCTAACCATAATTATTTTTTCACCTTTTATATATTGTAAATGACTATTTTTGTTATTCACCATCACACCTTCTTCAGCACTCAAAATTGCTTATTAATATTTTTTCTATTCACATAATGAAATTGCTATTAATTATTTTAATTTATACTTTTCATCCCTAACGCAAAAACATTATATTTATCTAAACCTAAAATAATATCACAATATATCATAATGTTTTGATCAATATCTATTTTTTTTTTTTTTTTATCAAATTATATCATACAATATACTTATAATATCAATGTAGCTATATTATTGCTTTTAATTCTTAATTTTTCCTATAGAGTGATTAGAGCTTATTCTTAAAAATTTGGATATTCTAATTATAATTCTTTTAACAATTAAAAGGATTTATAATTGTTATTCTATTACATTAATGTAACACCTTATTTTTATTTTAATATACTTTAGTAAAATTTTGCCAAATGATTATTTGCATCTTCTTATAAAACTTTCTCAAATTTTACTAAAGCCCTTTAGTATTCCTTTTAGTTTATTAATTCAATTCCTTGTTTTAACCCTAATTGTAAAATATTATGAATACAGAGATTAATAATTTCTTTCTCAAATTAAGTAGATTTGATATTTGTATTCCAAAACTTTACTTTGCCAATATTATCAAGAAAGTCCTTGCACTTTTATACTTTCAAGTTTTTGGCTATCTCCTAAAACTTTTGCTATTCTTTTAAAATAATTTTGATTGTTTTTTCATATTCTAATTTAAACTATTGAAACTTCCAATCAGCTTATTCTAACATTTAATCTAGCTTATATATAATTAAATCTAGGAGTATATCGATTTTATCAAATGGCTTGCAGTCATTTCTACAATTTAAATGTTTCTGAGGATTTATTAAACAATTAACACAAAATTGTGATTTAGGTTCTTGACAATCAGGATAAAGGCAAAAACCGATAATTTAACTACCCTCGTGTTCTAAGTTTTGACAAAAAAACATTTATATCTTTTTTAATTTAAATATTATAAATCTTACTCATAATATATTCTATAAATATAGTTGTATTATATATTATAATTAACAAAATTTAGTAATAATTAATCATTGTAATTCATATTATGGTTTTAAGATTATTTGAATTTTATGTTTTATAATGAGGAATCAGATGATTTAATTGAAAAAAAAAATTTGAATTCTTTTTATTCAAACTATTCTTCTATTATTTAATAATCTCTATTAGATTCTGGTTCATTACTTTAAAAATATCCATCCTTTATCATTTCCTTTAGAAAACTTGAGATTATAATCATAATAATACATTCCACTTTTGAACTTCTGATCTACATGAGCTTAAGAAGTTATTTTTTACTTGAATAAATATTAATCCGTATTTTTTCAGCAATATTTTATATTTAGAATTGGGTCTTATTTAAAAACAGAATTATTTTCCATCTTAAATTTAAAAAATGATAAAACAAGATTAAAATTCCCTCAAAGGATAAAAATATCATCAAAGACTAGTAATTTTTAATTTTTTACATTAAGTTAATCATAAAAAGAAAATACCTTATCAAATATCAAACTTAGTTCTTTCTCCAAATAAAAGTGCATAAGAAAGTCAACTTGAAAGATAAATTATTTTTTTTAATAATATGTATGTTTCTTTCATATAGCTTTTGAGAAATTATTGAATTTATTATTTGATTAAAAAGGAATTATAAAAACGATACCTATTACCCACATCTTGATTTTCATTTAAAATAAATCAATTATATAATAGTCTCAATTCTATATATTTATTATAAAATCTCTTAATGTTCATATTTCATCAGTTTTTGTTTTGGTTTCAATTACCTAACAAAAGTTTCATTATTAAACAATGAAGAATATTATAGTTTAAAAGTATATTGTTTTGATTACTTAACTTTTGCTTGATAATTATTGTATCATCTTTATAAATTTCGTATTACTCTTCCTTTGATTGGATTTAATGAATTTATTCTATACTAATTTAGTTAATCATTTCTCAATCTATTTAAAGATAATTTTGAGAAAATTCTATCTTTGACTATAGAAATCAACTTACCTGAAATGTATATTCATCAAGCATATAACAATATCAGCATCAAGCCTAAAAATTCCTTGTTTTTTATTTTTTCTTTCCATTATATCTTATTATTTTATAAAAATGAATATACAATTAATAATAACTAAGTCAATTTTTTCGGCTGGTGTGAAGAATTAAAATTTTAAAGATCTTAACAAAAATCAAAATAAAAAAAAGCATATTATTTAATTAAATTTTCGAGACAAGTAGATGAGTTAGGATTAATATTGATGGAAAGTAATAATGATGGTTCTGTCGTATATCTACTGAAAAAGTTTCTAATAAAACGAGAAAATAATTTTTATTCGGATAAACATAAACTTTTCTGGATTGAGAACCAGAAACCTAAATTTTGGTACAAGATAATTTAAAGAAAATTCTTTCATTATTTAGTTTGACTAGATTCAATTCTATTTGATTTAATAAATTAAAATCATTAATTATTATATCTTTTATCTAAGTTTCAATTAAATTGCAGTTTAAATATCAATTTAAATTTAGTAGGATATTAATCAAAGCCTTAAATCAATTTTCTACTAAATTTTATTTCAATACAAAAAAAACAATTTATTCACCTAATATCTTCTTGATTACATAATTGTGATAGAGTTTTTTCCATCTTCTTCTTAAGTTTGCTGAACTGGGAAATAGAGTCCATTAATTTGCTTTTTACTTAAAATATTAAATAATATTATTTCAATAAATGAATATCAAAATTGACTAATTCTTATTCATTAGTATCAGCTTTAATGAGATTTTTTCTTAAATTGCAATGAATTAAAAAGTAAGTTTTTGATCTAATTAATTATTTTTGCAGGATTTATCATAATTAATTGAAGTAACTTTTAAAAATCCTAAGAGTACTAAAGAATTTGAAGCCAATAAAACTGGAATATCTCATTTCCAAAAACTTCTTAGGGTGATTGGCAAGATGAATTTTAACATATTTATGTCTAAAAAAAGCCAAAAAATATAAACAGCCTAATCCTTAAAACATTAATCAAGAAAATATTTAACAAAAAGTTTATGAAATGTTATCTAAAGAGCTCAAAAACAGAATTATTTTTGAAAAAGACTTTAAAATAACTATTAAAAATTCAGGAACAACAAAAAGTAAAAGCTGCGTTAGACTTAATTTCATTTATTATCTAAAGGTAAATGGATACTTCTACTAAATCTAATGGTATTTTATTTTGTCAATAATGCGAAAATACTATAGATGAAGATAATTGCACAAAGAATATGGACGATAGTGAATGCTTTTACTATGGAATATGTTTTATTTGAAAGCTTTAGGCTAATGTGATTAACAATGCAGTTGGATTACATCTATAGTTGATATTGCTTTTATAACTGTTCATGATAATATTTATGATCTTAAATTTTTGAACAGCTTCTAGTTAAAGCTAAATAGAATATTTTAATATCGAATTAATTTAATTGGCTTGATATTTTCATTATCATCATATCGTTTTAATTCTTAATCTACATAATTTACAAAAATTACTACTAAATTAGAATATTGGCAACCAAATTCTAAATTCATTAAGGATCACTAATGAAAATCAATTCCTTAATATAAATATAATTTACATAATTCAATAATAAAATTATATTTTCAATTAATTATGATAATCAATAACTTAAAACCTTAATCCATTCTTTTCCTTATTGTATATAAGATAATTCATAATTTAATGAGAAAGAAATACAAATTTAAGAAGTTAGAGTAAAAATCATTAAGCAAAATTAAATATTTTTATTAAAATTGGTTAAATATCATTTATATAATTAAAGAATAATAAGATTGCTAATTCATTTTATAATTGATGTAGTTTTAATAAATAATAAGTTTACATAATTATAAAAATGGGATCAATTGTTAAATATTGATTACTATATTCTTCAAGCTTCTTTATATTCTATCTTCGATGAATTAGATTAAGATTGAGATGAAATATCAAACTTTACTCCATAAACAACCCTTAATCTATAGTGAGTATAAAAATAATCTTGAAATTTTATTATCAATGTAGTAAATGTCTAATACTATTGATAATATAAAATTTTTATTGCTCGAACTTCATATAGATACGCCGAGAGATTTGTCCTGCAATTTGTTATCTTTGACTAGCAGCTATAATATAAAAAAAATACTCCGAATTTTTATATAATGTTAAATCATATGCCTTAAAACATATCAACAAAATATTGTTATTTATATAATGAAAATATTTAATTATTCATAATAATGATTTAAGTAACAAACTCTATTTTATGAATCAATTTATA